AATCCATTCCTAATAACGTCGCAATAACATAGTATTCTTGTCGATCTGTACAAAAATTCCCTTCTATTCGACTTTTTTTTGTTTATACTAACCAGAAGTTTTATAATTTGACATTTGGGAACTTTGCAATAGAAAACTGGGAAAAAAAATCAATTTTACTGATTTAGCATTAACTCGTTTTTTATTTTTCCCGGCAGTTTCCCCTTTCCTATTGCGAAACTTTGTGACAGATTATGTCCGAGTCAATGATTCAAATTTTAGTTAATATCCAACAACCCTCAAGCAAAAAAAAAATCCAATTTGTTTTTTTTCAACCAATCACACGAATCAAATTTTTTTTTTTTTTTTTTTGAGTATAAAGCATAAGGCATTAACATTAACCTTAAATAATAATTATTATTATTATAATTATAATGTTGCCATACCTATATTTCAATAAACGCGTCATTAGGACGCGTGAATTCAACCGAATTCTAAAGTTTCAAGTTCGTCCTTACTCTTTTAAGCAAATAAATTTGAATTTAGATTTACCTGTTATAGAAACTAAATGGAGAGAAAGATGGAAGCAATTAAAAAATACCTCTAAAAATCAAGAAAATAGAAAAAAATTTTATATTTTGGCCATGTTTCCATATCCGAGTGGTATGTTACATATGGGACATGTGAGAGTGTATACTATAAGTGACACCATTGCAAGGTTTAGGAAAATGTTAGGTTACGAAGTAATATTAATAAATTTTAATTTCTTAGTTTGTATCACTTCTTAATAGATACTGATTTTAATTATGTATTTATTAAGGTAATCCATCCTATGGGTTGGGATGCTTTCGGACTTCCGGCTGAAAATGCCGCAATTGAACGCGATATTCATCCGACTGATTGGACTGTGGCGAACATTAAAGCCATGAAGATTCAAATGGAAAAAATTTTGGCGGATTTTGATTGGGATAGGGTTGGAATTTAAATCATTATAAGAAAATTATACAATGACTTAAACATTGATTTCACAATAAGATGTAATCAAAGAAATCAATTCTAGGAATTGACTACATGCAACTCGGATTATTACAAGTGGACACAATTTCTTTTCCTTAAATTATATAAAAATGATTTGGCGTATCAAAAAGAAGCCATCGTAAATTGGGATCCAATTGAACAAACCGTGTTGGCTAATGAACAGGTTTTACAATTAAAGGAATTCTTACAAATTGAAATGAATTTAAATGTTGATGTTAATTATAAATGTTGTTAGGTAGATGGTGAGGGGCGTTCTTGGCGTTCGGGTGCCAAAGTAGAAAATCGAAAGTTAAAACAATGGTTCTTTAAAATCACGGACTTTGCAGAGGTAAAGATTATTATGCGATAAATTGATAAATAAAATCTCGTTCATTCTTTATTTATTGTACTTTATTATTTCGATATCTAGCCATTATTAAAAGATCTTGATAAGCTGGATAAATGGCCAGATCGTGTCAAACAAATGCAACGTTATTGGATCGGTAAATCTGAGGGTGCCGAGTTTGATTTTTTTGTGGTATGTGTTGTGAAGTTTTAAAGAATTCTATTCGAAAATGTTTGTTTATTTATCTTTTCAATTGATTTGCTATAAAGAATTTGAACAGAGATAACAAATTCCCTATAAAAGTGTTTACTAGTAGACCGGACACCATTTTTGGTGTGCATTATCTTGCCATATCTACAGATCATGTTTTAGTGTCAAAAGAGTATATAAACATCAGAACTTAAAAAGTTTCTCGCTTTTTCATATGAATGCCCTATTGTAATCGAGTATTTCTCTGATGTATTTTTTAGTTTTCTATCATCGGATATTTATTTGGAAGTGGTGAAACTTGCAGAGAAAATGAGACAAGATGTAATTGATTCCAATGAAAAAAAATCACATCAAGGTATGTATTATTTTAATATCAATTTATTGAACGATATTGTTTCTCAATACAAAACGCAATAATTATTAGGAGTTAAAACCAATCTTTACGCGACCCACCCGATTACTGGAGAATTAATTCCTATTTACGTAGCTTCGTATGTTGTTTCTGATTATGGAACCGGTGCTATAATGGGTGTTCCCGCACATGATGAACGAGATTGGAATTTCACCAAATTAAATCACATCGTTAACAAAAAAGATATTAAAAAAGTTGTGAACCCTATATTTTATAAGGATGATGGTATTATTCTATAAATCTGAATTTGACAAAATTCTTATCGTCTGAAAGTCCCTTGTGTTTATTCACATTCCTTGTCGTTTAAGGTACGGATCTCATTGAAGACGGTGAGGTTTATACAACATATGGAACCTTAACATCAGATTGCGGAAAATATTCTGGAATGAAAAGTGAAGATGCGATGAGGAAGATTGTTGATGACGCTGAAACAGGAGGTTATGGCCGTTCGGCGGTTCAGGTAATATAAAACATTAATACTATATCTATCAATAAAAGTTATAAATTCTTTTCAATCTTGTGTAGTATCGACTTAGAGATTGGTTAATATCAAGGCAACGGTATTGGGGTGCTCCAATTCCTGTGATACATTGTCCAGAATGTGATGTAAGCTTGTCTCCCTCCATTGATAATTTGAAAGTTATGAGACAAATTAAACGTAAAAGGAATAACGTTTCAGGTTGTACCCGTTCCCGAGGGTGAACTGCCTGTCATGTTACCAACCGATATTACTCTTTCCGGTCGTGGTGGTTCTCCCTTGAAATATGTTGAAGATTGGTTAAATACTAAATGTCCAAAGTACGTACTCTAAAAAAGGTTTAAACAATGGATCTATTGAATATTATCATAATGAATTTATATCATATTCAAGATGTCAGGGACCTGCAAAAAGAGATACGGATACTATGGACACATTTGTTGACTCATCTTGGTATTTTATGCGTTATACCGATCCCAATAATGCTTCATTGTAAGTTAATTACTTTCCATCTAATATTTCGATGACTTAACTAGTTGTAATATTTTATTTAAACGTAACTTTGTAGACCATTTTCATACGATAATGCATCCAAATATCTCCCTGTTGATGTATATGTTGGTGGCGCGGAACATGCAATTCTACATTTGTTATATTCAAGATTTTTTGTGAAATTTTTATATAAACAAGGTATGTATAATCCTATACACGAGAACATCCAAGAGCAAGGCGAACCATTCAAACAATTAGTGACACAGGTATGAGTTTTTATAAATATTATTATTGTGATCTATAATCCAAATTAATATATTCTTAAATGTTTAAGGGAATGGTTCATGCCAAAACCTTTAAGGATCCGTTAACCGGAAGGTTTTTAAAACCCGAGGAACTTGATTTATCAAGTAAGGATTTAAATTAATCAACATCGCTTCTAATCTTGAAAAAAAAAGGGGAGTGGGGCTAATAAGAATTTATCTTTAGAACTTAATGAACCTATACAGAAATCAACCGGACTTGCACCAGTAGTGTCATTTGAGAAAATGTCTAAAAGTAAACATAACGGAATTGACCCAGAAGTATGAGAATCAAATTAATACAATTTTTTTTTTTTTTTTTTTTATCATTTAATGATAAATACAATTTTTTTAAACTAGGCAACTATTGAAAGATATGGTGCAGATGCTACGCGCTTACATATGCTTTTCAAAGCTCCAATATCTGAAATTCTTGAATGGGAGGATTCAAGTATTATTGGTATGCAAAGATGGATTTTACGCGTTTGGAAATTAGTAGAAAACCTTGCTAATTTTCAACAAAGTAGTGATCTCAAGTTGGATATGAGTATCATGAATAATGATGAGAAAGAAACATATCGAATGATAAACTTTACAATAAAAGAGGTTTGTTTGTATTTAATTTAAATCAAAACTACTGTAATTTTCTATAATTAAAAAAAAAACTTGCTCTCAATCTTAGATGACGACAATATTTAGTGAAACGTTTTCATTCAATACAGCAGTATCTTCTTTGATTAAATTAACCAATCATCTTACAAGCGTTTCTCCAATTATTAATAAGTCTGATCGAAATGAAAATTCAATTATTTCACCCGTGTACATACATGGCGTTAAATCTTTAGTTAAAATGATAGCGCCAATGGCACCAAGTATAGGAGAAGAATTTTGGGAGTGTTTGAATAAAGAGAGAAAAATTCGAACAATCTTTGAAGAATCTTGGCCGAAAGTCGACAATAAAGGATTAAGTGTTGAAGAAGTTACCTGTGTCGTCCAGGTTAAAAGTCGATATATTTAAATTTCGTTATTTATATATCAATATAAATAAATAAATAAATAACTTGATTCTTTTTATTTATTATTTATTATAGGTTAATGGCAAACGGAGATTTTCACTTCAGGTTCCTTCATCAATTTTACAAGACAGTTTGGCGGTCGAAAGTTTAATTCGTAAATCTGATAATGGTCAGAATTGGATCGAACGTAATAAAATCGGTAAAAAGGTCAAACGTGTAATCCATGCTAATGGTGGGAAGATTGTTAATTTTGTTCTCGAAAAATAATATTATTAAATTTAATAATAGGAACTTTTTTTCTTTTTTTTCTTTTTTTTTTTAATAATATATCCAATATATATGTATATTATGTAAACATGAATAAATAAATTATTTATCAAAATATCATCGTAACAGCTGTATTATTTAACCATTTTATATACTTTATCTCTCTACCATAAAAAATCAATGCATCAATTAAATAAAGCTTTTCTATTAAGCAAATGTGAAAATATCAATATTAATTAAAACAATTACACAATTAATATTAGTACGTCAACCAAATGTTATACTCACAAAATAAATAATTAATCGAATCCAAAGTTATTGTTTCTACAAATAAGGATGAATTCCAATTAAAGTTGTTATGCATTAAATTAATGAACTTCTTTCATATGCAGTTTATCTTAATCAAACGCTCACGTATAATTATGTAAACTACATCAATGTGATTATATGTAAACTACTATATTATATACAAACACCTACTTTAAATTCCGCCACTCAATTCTCTTTCTAAATCTTCGCTCATCACTGCAGGTGGTTGATAATGTCCAGCAACAAGTGCGCCCGGATCTCCTCGTACTGCCGTAGGCGAATTAAGAATAGTATCTCGATCTGGAATTCTTGCTAAACTTGAAGAAGTCGTTGGTTTAACCCCAGTTGCGACATTTAATTGCGGTCGTCTAACTGTTGCACGAAAGTTTGCAACTTCTTGTGCAATTACGACTTTTCATTTAAAGAGAAATAATTAATATAAGTTACTAATATTTGAAATTGTTGAATAAAAAAAAAGGTATAATTTAATGAAAGTAAAAAAATACCTCTCATCTGATTAGGATCGTCTATTGATTCAAAAGAGAAATCAAAAGGTTCTGGACATACCGGCTATGTTATTTTTATTATTATTATTATTATTATTTATATTTAAATAAATTCATAAAGCAAATTTCAATGAGATGTAGGCAAACCTCCTCATTTGGATTATGCCATATTGCTAAATATGGATGTTCTAAAGATTCTTCGACAGTTATGCGTTGAGCAGGGTCAAAGGTTAATAGACGTTCTATTAGATCCAATGCTATAATAAAAAACAAAGGTTAAATTTTCATTTTATATTTAAGGAAAAAAAAAAAAATAAGGTTTGTAGTTTGTGATCATCGCGATATACCCAAAGGATTTGCATTCGGAAATAATTGTTGAAAAGGTCTTTTATGCATAAATGGTAAATTGCGAATATACTCTTGTGCCTAAAAAATGCATAAACGCATTTTAATTGAAATCAACATCATAAGAAAATATTATGGAATTTTACCCTATGACTTCCTATCCTTGTTAAAGTGGCATCATTAGGTGTTCCCAAGGTTTGTAGGATTTGGTTTAATTGATCAACATCTATGAGAGAAATTAATAATATGGCTAAGGATATTTAATTTTTTGGAATTTAAAAATTTTTTAAATTAAAGATCAAGATACAATCTCGTCCTTTAAACAACGTTCGACCACTCAATAACTCGGCAAGAATGCAACCGACGGACCACAAATCAACTATAAATAAAATAAAAATAATTTATTAGTTTAACTCATTATTATTAACTATACTAATTTTCTTTTTTTTTTTTTTTAAAAAAAAAAAACTTTTAGAAATAATAACCATAAACAATAACATACTGGCTTTTGTGTAACTTTGAAAACTTAACATGATTTCTGGAGCCCTATACCACCTTGTGGCAACATATTCAGTCATAAATCCAGAATTGGCTGCAGGGTCTTCTGAAAATCCGCGAGCAAGACCAAAATCACAAATTTTAAGCTCACAATCCGCATTAACAAGAAGATTACCTAATATGGAAGAATCAAATCAAAAAGTCATAAACAGTTCATAAAAAATCTATCCATTGAAGTGAAATTTAAATTGCAACTAACCAGGCTTCAAATCACGGTGCAATACATTAGCTGAGTGAATATATTTCAATCCACTTAATATCTGATATGTGAAACTCTGATAATGCGCGTCTGAAAGAGGTTGACCCGAACGGATAATTGCGTAAAGATCAGCTTCCATCAATTCTTCATAAAGATATCTTTTAAACAAATTATATTTAAATTAATATGAAAAGGTACATATAGCTATATAACACAAAGAGATTTTTTTACATTTCGTTGTAATCATGAGGATTAACGATATCCATGTCAAAAAGACATGTGATCTGTCAAAATTGAAAAGGTGTTAACGATGAAATAAATGTAGAATAACGTGAATTACATACGCGCTATTTCAAAATATTAAACTATTTATTATAGTTACATTTTTGTGTCCTCTAAAATGCTGCAACAATTTCACCTCTCGCAATGCGCGTTTCGTAAGAATTGTTTTGTTAAAAACATTCGTAACCTTTTTGATGGCCACTCCTTCCCCAGTTTGTGTGTTACGCGCAGCACTAAAAAAATTCATTAAAACACAGTAATCGATATTTAAAACGAATATATCAATGTAAAGAAGAAATAATTTTAAAAGTTCAAATTAATTAAATGCATAATTAATTTGTTCTTTTTATCTAAGTAAATAAATTTAATGAGTATATAATAATGAAATAAGGGTAATAGAGGTATTCGAATGTTAAACATTGAGCATAAAGGTGCATCATAAAACCAGAAACTTTACCACACAACGCCATAAGCGCCCTGTCCTAATTCTCGTAAAAATACGAATTTTTCGTCAACAAGAAATTGCTGGTTAAGAACGGGAAAAGAATGTCTTCCCATGATTTAAATGTTATTCTTGTCAACTAGGTGATTGATAAATTTTTTCCATCGAAAACTATATGAGTGAAATCACTTGTGTAATTGCAATCGTCGTACAGTAACTGATTAACATTGATTGTACTACTTTATTCGGAATATATCAAAAACCAAATTTTGCAACTCCGTTTTCAAACTTCAAGATGCTATCCGAAACAACAAAAAATTGGCTCAAGTCAAAGCTACAATATATTAGGAAAAATACTTACTTTCAGTTTTCTGACGATGTATTGATTTCAATATTAGTTTGTCTCATATCCGGTGAAAAACATTTGATACTGACATGCAAACCGGAAGATAATGAAGAACTTAGATCTATGACCAAACAAGTAAAGAACATATTTTTTTTATAATTATTATCTTTGAACAAATGCTGGGAAAGGGGAATTTCATCAAAGACTTTTCCTAATTGTAATATATACAAAATTAAATCATCTGAACTAGAACATTTAAATTACTTAAAAAAAAAAAATTTTTTTCTTATACCATTGGTCCCTTTTCTCAGCACTAAGGTTTCCGTTTGAAAATAAAATTGAATTTTTTAGGAGGATATTTAGGATATTCAAACAAATATCGAAATGGATTTCGATTATTGAATATCGAAAGTCATATCCTTCGCTATTATGCCGGAATTTTTTTTTTTTTTTTTTTTTAAATATTTTTCGAAATATCTAGAACTTAGATTTCTAATCCACCAGTGTTTGAAATTCAAAATAAAAAATTTGTATGACATAAATTATATAAATTGTAATTTTAAAAAATTTTAAATGTATGGAAATTAAAAATTTGTTGCGTATGCACATTCTGCACATTGAATTTCAAACATTGCTCATCACATACCCCACCTTAGACTTCAATTTTAATTTTATTCAATTTATTCATATTGTTTTAGGTATTACATCACGTTTTTAATATGACTACAGTTATTTGTGATGCTTCTCAAACACCGGCTGAATTTACTAATAATCTTTTTAGTCGACAAAGGGAAGATATTTTTCACATATCGAACAGCGTTAATAATGTACATTCTTATCCTGATTGTTCAGAAGAAGCGACACTTCGATTGAAATCTTATCAATCATTGAGATCTTTACGAACAATCAGCTCAACAAAATCAAATGATAAAAGACCAATGCACGAATTTCAAGGATTAAACCGCCGGTCTAATTTATCACATAGTTCAAACCTAATAAGGGATAACATAGCCGTCGATTCTGATGAATCGCTGTCACTTTATGGAAGTAGTTACGACAATGATGAAATTGGCTTTCTAAAGGTTGAGTCAACTCGAGAATTTTAAATTTTTTTTTGGTAGAATTCTTTATCTTTTATTTTCTTATATGAATTTTTACCGAATCAGTCAAAAGAAAGATTACGAACATTTGATAGCCCAAGAGAGACTACTTTTTCATTGCCTAGATCATCAAGTCTTCATACACGTAAAAGGAATATAAATCTATCATCTTCTCCATCTCAGCCCATTGACATTTCCGAAAAGCCTTCGACATCATCGCGTCCAAGTCTTAGCATATATACTGGCTCACCTCGCAAGAATATTCATCATTCTTACTTCAGTTCCTCTTCACAGTCTCCAAATGATTACACTTTTTCTAAAAAAAGGCACGAAAGTTTAAGTACTAGTGGTTTTGATCCACCTTCACCATATATTCCTAGTTCGCGACCTTTGGCAAAGGCTGTGATTATTGAAAATTTATTAAATGCAGATGAAACTATTTATGCACTTTTGTTGGAGGTATTTTTATTTTTGTTTTTTCTTCAAGAATTTCGTAATATTATCTTACTTTTTTGGTACTAAATTCTCGACTAGATTTTGATACGAAGACAAGTGATTGACAGATCTACGGTTTATAACCTACCAAAGTCTTTTCTTGTTATAGTTTTATTACCAATGACATCCATGAAATATAATTTACCCAATCAACTGGTAAATTTGCTGTTATGAGCTTTTCTCGTTTCTTAAATTTGATCACTTGATTTTTATTCGTCAATTAATTTTTATTTTTAAAAAAAAGCTTGACAGATTTTTTATTAGTTATACTTATGAGGGAGTAGAAGCCGGGAAATCGCCGATAATTACAGCTAAAAAAAGTCCGCTTATAAAACCTGCGGTATGATTCTTCAAAATACGTGATGATATATTTTTTTTTTTTCTGATAGTACTATATATTAAATTGGCACTTTTTTTTTGCTTTTAGGAAATTGAAGATTTATCCAAGAAAATGGATAATGTAACTATTCATAATGATATGCACAGATATATGCGGGATGTTGTTGTAGGGATACGGACACATCGTTTGGTGAAAGGTGGTTTAACAGCTCGTGCATCATCTGATCTGGTGACACTTGTCAGGTAAGACATATAATATTTCTCATCAAGAATTCAAATACATTTAATCAAATTTGGTCATGGATCATTTAGAGCGCTCGCCGCAGTTTTTCAGCGTAATTATGCAACTCCTGAGTTGGTTCTTTTTGCAAGTGAAAAAATATTTTCACATAGATTAATATTGAGAGACGCTGGAGATGACAAAAGCACTATGTATGGAACTAGTTTATTTACATTATTAAGAGCAAGGAGTCTTTCGCCAAAATTTCCAAGTCCTGGTGATGTAGTAGCAGATGTACTACAGACAGTTTGGCCACCTATATAATACAAAAAAAAAAAAATTTATTATATAATTTTTGCAATTAATTTAATAGCTCCAATTAGAAATTATAACCTATATAGTTTATAAAATATGTATTTTAAATTGGTATAATATATAAATATACTATATATCAACATTTTAATTAATATTTAACGTTAAGTCAATGACAAATTCTTTTTGTAATAAAAACATTTCAATTAATAAAAAAGCAACTATTAGAATTCAAGATGATGTAAAAATATAAAAAAAATTTTATTATTTTATATCTTTGAATTCATAATGCATAAAATGTTAATAATGCTTATTAAAACCATATTTTATAATATTCCTTTTAATTTATTGAATTTAAAAAAAATCTATTATAAATTTAAGTAAAAATATTTATTATAAATAAAAAAATAAAAATAATATAATAAATAAATTTTTATATAAATATTTTTTTTTTTAGAATTATTTAATATATATTTAAATTTTTTTAAACTTAATTTTAATTAAAAATTTGAATATATATTAACTTATATATACTCTTCAAAAAATCTTTATTTTTATTTTAATTTATAAATTACTTATAATTTATATGTTAATTTAATAAAATTTGAAAAGTTTTTTTATTTTTATAAATTTATTTTAATTAATTATTTAGAAAAAAAAAATTTTATATATATATAAATCTATATTTATCATAGAATATAAAACAAGTGGTAAAAAATTCCTATTTTATTTTTTTTTGTATGTTGTTATACAACTTTTTTAATGTAGAATCAACTTATGAGTTCCCATTAATTCCCTAAATAAAGATCATTAAAATACTTACAATGTATATTCTTTTTAGGTTAGATTTACATGAATAGATTAAGAAAAAATTTAGTAGTGTTATCTTACGATACTAACGACTGAAAATTAGTATTAACAAAAAGGGATTTAGCTTTTATGAAATATTTTTTAAGGAAAGCTTTGAAGGGTTTACAAATAATTATTACTTTAAACAATAAGGTATATTTAGAATAAACTTTAGGATTTTATTAAGGAATAAAGAATT